TCTAATTTACCTCCTTTGTTCATGTTGCAACAAGCCTTCCATCCTTTACATCAAGTTTTTTCACACAAGTTTCCTTTGAGGTAAAACTGGTACTTTGAGGTAAAATACTCTAAACATTTGAGAGTAAAGTCAACAGGACGCTCTTTGTAAATGGGAACTTGGAAGTGTTTAGTTTTTTTGTCATTACAAAACGTGAGGGAATAAAATGGTGAGAGGCAGCAGCATTGAACCGGGCTGGGTTGTGGGAGGACAACGAGGGAAAGAAGCAGGAGACCACAAGGCGAAGGAAAATGTCTCTCAGGATTTGGTACTCAATGACATATAAAGGCAGATCTGCCTTGGCACTTCATGTTGCAAATCGCATGAGGGTTTAGATGTTTTTAAAATTTGCAACAGTCATCTCAAGTCCACACTTTTCAAACCTCACTCCTGTCTCTTCAAAGCATCACTCCAACTCAGCCACTTCACTAAAGCAGAATCTGTGCTCTTTTAACCTAGCAGTAAGATTAGAGGCTAAAAAGGTAACAGAACTCTCTCCCATGCTATAAATGAAAAGGACACTGGCAAATCGTATTAACGGAGAAAATAACTCTTAGAGAATGTCAGGGGTTTATGAAGTAGTTATTTTGGCCCAGGGGCTTTTTATCAGGGGATGAGTGTCACTCTTGGTGACGCTTTCAAAGAAAGCCTTATAAACTTAGAGGAAAGCACAAGCCTGATGTCCTCCTGTACCTCAAGTAGAACATTAGTTGTGTACTTTCTCCTTTCCATGTAGATATTTCTGCCATTAGCTGGCCATTTATAGTAGCCTGATGACTCCTTTTAAATTCTTCAGGTCCCTGTGTCCTCTTTTCAAGATGAACCACACTCTTGTGATGAAGAATAATTCTAACAGAAACAGCAGCATATAAATGTGAGCACTTTAATCTTATTTGTTAAAAATACCTCTAGGCATCCTAAGTATCTTTTCAGTATGTGGAACAATTTGATCCAAAATTGGTGAAAGCGCAGAAGTCTGAAAGACACCTAATTTCTACAATTTACCTTAAGATGATTGGGCAAGTTGAGAAAAATATGCAAATTAGAAGGCAAAAACCATAAAGCAGATCCTGTTTCCAGCCTTCTTGGTGGTTACAGGAGTAAGCTGGGGATGTTGTGCTGAGAAATGATAATTTTTAGAGCTTATCATCAGAGAACATCGTGGATTTTGGTACAATCGGTACATTTAACAAAGTGAATGGAAAAGCAGGAAAAAAAAGAACTTTGCTATCAAGACTGTCAAATCTCATAGTGGAGAGAGTTGGTGCTTTGGATCTCAGGCCTCCAGTACTCAGCTGGCTGCCTTTGCTCAGGAAAGCCACGGAGTTGGTTTAAGGCACTTTCCACAGTGGTGTGTGTCCTCTGTACTAACCAGAGTTCTTCTGGAATGGAAACACTTGTATCCCCTTCAAACAGATGCTCATTTGGTAGTGGATGAAATACCCTTATTTAGAAAGGTTTTAAACAAATAGCTCTCTGGTTTGTTTTGTAAGGCTGTGACTAACAGAGGTCTCAGAAACAGCACTTGTTTGTGTACCACTTACCACAACCATAGAAATAAACACACTTCCCACTACCACAACAGCACCCAACATTGCCATTCAGCACAGTAGAAGCACCAGCTAATACACCAAACAGCCCAAACACTGAGGCAGCACGTAGAAGCTGATCTGGATGTTGGGCGCGGGGAGTGTGCAGATGGAGATGTGGGTATCACACGTCTCCATGAGCATACTGGGAGTTCAAAAAACCTAGTGTATGGCTTGCTTTGAGATGGAGGAGTTTCTCCATTACCTCAAGGAATGGGAAGTTGTACTGTGTCTGCATATGGTGTAAATTTTGGACCTACATTGGTGTGTATCAACATTTGCCGCATTGTTTTTGTTATGGGGTGCAGTATCTCACCTTCAGCTGAGAAAGAAAAAAAAATCCTTTATTTCAGAGATACACACACATTTGCCTTTAGTGAACCTGACTAATTAACTTCAGATCCCTGGGATACTGAAGAAGCAGCAAAATAATGACATTTGTCTTTAAACAAATCTTTACTGTCTTCAGAGTGCCCCTAAGGTGTCTCATAACAGTGATGGTATCATTAACTTGGCACAAGACAAACATGTGTCCTGCAGGGGTTTTGCAATGTGAAAGGAATGACTGGGTATCAGCTGCAAATTACATTTGTCATTGCCTTTAGAAATAAGTTCTACCTTACAGCCTGGGGAAAGTAGAAGTCCTATTTTTTAAATAAAATGAAACAAGGACCAGTGCTTCTCCTTCTTTTGAGAATGAGAACACAGGCAAGGTTGGTTGTAATCAAATTATAAGAACTGTGTGCTACAGATGCATGTTCCCCTATTGCCTACACTAGCACACATTGCTTCGCTATTGCTTTTAAATAAAACACTATACACTGACACTATGTATAGAGTTTGACACCATAATAAATACATTATGGCTGAACACCCATTATATTGTGTCCTTTACATAAACATTAAACAACAAACAGTGGTCACTACAGCAGCAACAGAGGTACTGTGCTGTTTTCCTGCATCAGGTTTGAGATATGTGTGTGCTGTGAAAGAAAAATGTAGAAGAAAATGTGGAAAAAGCTTATTTTTTAGTTAGAGCAAACAAGAAACAGATTTAGGAGGGTAAGACTTTTACAGTCTGCTGTGTTGGGACAAAATTAAATGGGTTGAGAATGGACTGCTGACAATGTTTGAGTTCGTATAAATGCTCGTGCATAAATAAAGCAATTTCTAATTATTTTTGAAGCTAATGCACACCAGGAGCACAGGGGAAAATGTTAATCTTGTTATAAGAAAGAAATTATTTAAAATAAGAACAATCAATTACTAGAGGAACCTCCCCAGGGATTCAGTGGAGTCCCTGTCACTGGAGGTTTTCCAGATACAGCTGGACAGGGTGCTGGATAATCTCATCTAGACTCCCTTTTCCACAGCAGGTGGGACCAGGTGACCTTTTGAGGCCCCCTCTCATCTGAGGTGTTCTGTGATCTCTGATCATCATGTACAATATCTGTAACTGGAAAAGTTCTTTAAGGGAATTGGTACTGATTCAGTGAAATTACTTAAGGTCGTGCTTGCAGAGAGCTCAGAGAAGAGAATCTTCTCTCAGTGAGAGTTGTTAGCATTTACTGATACTGCAAAAGTAGTTGGAGATCCTAGTCTGAAAAAGGTTCTGTTTCTAGAACTTTGATGTGTGGATTTTTACCGAATGGGTTGTTTGTAGATTTTGATCAGAACATTTACCATGCTGTGTTAAGAAATTGCAGTCTTAGGGCACAGAGAAAAGGCAGTAAAATCTGTACATCCCCTAATACTGAACTTCTCTCACATCTCTAGTCTGTCATACATGTTTTTGAAGCTGGATGCACTTGTAACTATTTCCTTCAATTTAAAATACGTGCATTTGACAAGAGGTTGGTCCTTCCTGACTTAGGTTTGACCCTGTGTCCTAGAGGTCTGAATCCCAGAAAATGTTACAGAGCATCCCACAGCTGCCTGCATTGGTACTACACATAGAGGTTTGACTCAGGGAAATTATTAGGGGCTTGGCCTATAGCACATTTTGCTATCTCTCATATTCATGCCACTTACATCTCTACTTCAGGAAGAAGGGTTTCTGTATTTTTCTGTAGTTTACACAGATTGGATAGAGCACTTAATCCCATGGTTATTTCAGTAAGTGGTACAATGTTTATTTACACTGAATTTAGAAGGTAACTGGAATAAGTGGCCTTCCCAGACAGT